ATCATGCGTTTTTGCACCAGACTTGAAATAATTAGTTTAACTGCATGAGTGGTTGTTTCTTTACACTTACCTTGTGCTCTCAATGCTGTAACTCATCGTAAATTTTGCATTAAAAAATAAACAATGTCCGTTTAGCGGTCGTTTTTAGAAAATGGCCCAGCCGTTCTATTAGTAACTTCCCGCCAAAAATTTAAGTGCCCGTGCACGAGAACCACGCACGCCTGGGGACTGAATTCGATAGCTTTAAGTCGTAAGTGGATTGGGAACATTCCCTGAAAATTTCAGCTACCCATCTTTACTAATTCCCGAGTCAGCCATTTTCCCGCCGAAAAATCTCACGGGGCCATACGTGAGAACCGCGCATGCCTGGGGGATGAATTTGATGAACTCAGGTCGTACATGGGCTAGAAACATTCCCTGAAAATTTCAGCTTCCCAGCTTTGCTAGTTCCCGAGTTAGCCATTTCCCTGCTGAAAAATCTCACGGGGCCGTACGTGAGAACCGCGCATGCCTGGGGGATGAATTTGATGAACTCAAGTCGTACATGGCCCCTGAAAATTTCAGCTACCCATCTTTACTTATTCCCGAGTTGGCCATTTTCCCGCCGAAAAATCTCACGGGGCCATACGTGAGAACCGCGCATGCTGGGGATGAATTTGATGAACTCAAGTCGTACATGGGCTAGAAACATTCCCTGAAAATTTCAGCTTCCCAGCTTTGCCAGTTCCCGAGTTAGCCATTTCCCCGCTGGAAAATCTCACGGGGCCGTACGCGGGAACCACGCGTACCTGGGGGCTGAATTTGAAATCTTTGTGTTATATTTGGACGGGGAATATAACCTCAAAATTTCAGCTTCCCATCTTTTCGCGTTCCCGAGTTATCAATTTTCCCGCCAAAACCTTCCCCCTCTCGTACGCGGGGCTCAGGCGTGCATGAGGGATGGTACCGCGATTCTGGGGTGGTGCTTGGCCGGGGTACCCATCAGCAAAATCTCGGCGCTGGAACTTGCATGGTTGCCGAGTTGAAATACCCGGACAGACGAACACACACACACAAACATACACACACATATACACACATACATACACACACACAGACGGGGTCGTCTCAATATGCGTTTTTGCAATTTGCATATAGGCAAAAACAAATAATAACTGAGCTGTTCAGTGAGTAATTTTCCCGCCTAAAATTTAATTACCCATACGCGAGAACCGCGCATGCCTGGGGGCTGAATTTGATAATTTTAATTCATATATGAGCTGAGAACATCCCCTGGAAATTTCAGCCTCCCAGCTTTGCTAGTTCCCGAGTTAGCTATTTCCCGCCAAAAAAACTTCATGGAGCCGTACGCCCGTGGTGTACGTGTGTGTATGTTTGCGCGTGTGTTTATGTATTTATGTATGTATATGTGGGTATTTCATTTCGGCGATCAAACAGGCTCCGGCGCTAAATTTTGCCAGTAGTCTCAGCTGCCACTTCAGGGCCGCGGCAACAACTTTACGAACCCCTGAGCCCCGCGTGTGAGCAAGTGAAAGTTCTGGCTGAAAAACTGCCAATTCGGGACCCAGAAAAGCTGGGTGGCTGAAATTTTGAGAGGATGTTCTCTTTTTAAGTACAACTAAGGATTTCAAATTCTGCACTCGTGTATGCATGATACTCATTTATGAGCAAGTAAAATTTTTGACGGGAAAATTGCTCACTCGGGGACCAGAACAACTGGAACATTGAAATTTTAAGAGGATGTCCCCCATTCGCGTAGAACAAATTCAGTTCCCAAGTGTGTGTAGTCCTCATGTACGAGTATTCAAAAGTTTTGGCGGTATAATCGCTTGCTGAACAGCGAGGTCATTTTCAAATAACGATTGTTCGACAGAAATTGTTCACTTTTCTTTATGCATCGTTTACGATGATTTATGCTAGTGAGCGCATGAGATATATGTAAAGCAAGAACCATGGCCTGATTGATTCAAGTTTAGTGCCAGTGCGCACCAGGCTGCCAGTGCGATCAAAAACACGTG